GATGGACTGTTTCCTGCCATTTTAAGTAAGATTTGAGGCCTGACCATTTTGCAAAGCAGCCCTAAATAAAAGCCTTTTCAGAGTGTTACAGGTGTTCCCCCCTCGAAAAAAACCCCGAAACTAAACATAATATGTATGAAATCCTTTTCTTTTTCGTTAAAATAATGAAAAGAATGTTCGCGACTCCCACGTAACCCATTGGTTCGAAGGCCTACCGAGTTTGACCGAGCTAATGGCGGAAGACGCCGATAGCAACTTTTGTAAAGTTACATGACCAAACGTCGTGATCTAATTGATTGACAGGACAGAAGGGTCCATTGTTGATGTTCCCGAGATTACATGCAATACGCCCGAAGTTTCGTTCGCCTATACCAAAGAACGATTTACCGTCAAATTCTCTCCAAACCTATAGGGAGTTTTGGTGGCCCTTGAACTTAAGTGTCTGCCGCAATAAAAGATTCAAGTTTTGAATCGTCTTTGATTTTGTATTTCGTGGAGATTCATCTACTGCTATTTATATCCACATCCATTTATTTGATCACCAATCAGGGAATGTCTTCATCGGGTACAACTCACAGTTATTTACCAATCTACAGCCGTGTCGTTTTTCATAAATTGGGGTCACTATATGCAGTCGTCTCGAATGGCCGTCGTGGGGGTTGCATAATATACACAAACCAGATCGATCGCATTCTGACGAATGGGTGATACTGAGACTAATTTTTAAATTTTGGCTGAATTTCTGTCACCTTTTTCTTTCATGCAAAATCTCGTGGTGGATCAAGGAGGAAGGGGTTTCCCAAGGGTGGGGGTTGTTGAAGTGCAAGAGGTGGGGGGCGGAGGGGAGGGGTTGCTGAGAGGTTCAACGCATGGGACCAAAGCCCTATGATACAAGATTTGCAATGACAGTTAAGGAAATTTGGGATTTTTATATTTTATTTTACAAATAATTAACATTTGTCAGTCGGAGGGGGTGGTCAGCCACCCTATCCAACCCCTTGGATCCGCCATTGAAGTCTCTTTGTACAAAACGTGCAATAAAATGGCGTAATATCTTATCTCACTTTTATCATACTGTAGCCTAAAGATACATAAAGATCTGCAGATATAGTTCAAGCCAAGTAAACTTTCAGATAATAATTAGGTTGGGATAAATGTAAATGATTAACCACATCATCATGTCACTAAGCTTCTTACAATTTATACAAAAGGTTCTGGATACATGACAACAATCGTTGTGTGACACCTAGTATAAAAACGTATACAATAATGAGTGAATGTTGTTCTAGGAAAGTTGGTGCTCTTATGTATGTTGTTGTGTTGTTATGTATTAAGCTCTTCTAATTTTTTTCCATAGGGTCATGGTTCTTTGAACATTCATTATTTGCACGAAGTGAATAGGGCAAACTTGTACATGAGTGAGTGCATGTCCACATTCGCTAACGTTCGCCTAACACAAACAAACGTATTCCTTCAAAGCGATGCAATGTTTGTATAACTTGTTTGCGTCTGATTTATGGTCCAACGTGCTGTGAACATGTCCCAGGCCTTTCAAATCACGTGTGTATTTGGGATAGAATGGGTAAACTTTCAACAAATCTGGACGTGCTGGTATGAGGATAACAGACGGCGCCCGGCGGTTGGGGGCAATAACGATTAAATCCAAGCGCGCACCAATACATGTATAGTAACAATGTACACAATTTAAGTAGGTGAAAGTGATACCTCAAGTTGAAAAATATAATTCAATATTGTGATTGAACCCACTGACAAGTACCAAATCGAAAATGTTCTACTGTGCCTTGCAGTCTGCAAAAAAACTTACAAAACGAACCTCTTGTCAAGTCGTGCATCTTAACTATAGGAGTTCCATCTTAGCCACTTTTGCACATCAAATTTGTTTGCTCTCCAGATTTCAATTAAAACTTTACACATTAATTTAAAAAAACACACTGACGATCCAATCATTGTCGAAAATTTTATAGATTTATACACATGACATTCACATGTGTTGTATGTTTAAGGACATTATTATTTTATGCATCAGCACATGTGCACCAGAACTGTTCAACTGAAAGCACAATTCGTGTTCAATGGTTCAATGTACCAAGGACATCACTATTTTAATATTAAACAAGAATGTATTATGTTATGCATCGAGGAGCCAGACGACGAATCAAACAATCATGACCCTAGTACCTTGCGAACCCAAATTTACAAAGAACAGCTTCATTGCCACTTCAATAGAGTCCGATTTTTATAGGAGTCGGATTTTCATGTGACAACGGTATTATCATGCTTTTGACAGCCCCATTCAAAATGGTAGCCCCTCAAATTTGTTTTGTTTTAAATTCTATTTCAAGTTCTTGAAAATCCTGTCACGGTATTATCACGCTATTGATAGCCCCACTCAAATTTGTTTCGTTTCAAATTTTTATTTTTTTAATTTTATTTATTTATTTATTATTATTATTATTTTTCCTTGAATCTAGTATCGTAGTAGAGACCGATTAGCAAGTCTACGTCTCCCGGGTTTTCGTGAAAACTGCACATCACCTTGAAAAGAATGTGAAGGACATAACACAATTGGACAATGTCGGTAACGACGGTCCAATGCATGACATTCTCTGATGTTTCTATATCTATACTGGTCTGGAAATAAACGGCGCTGACCTACCGCAACTCAGAAAAGACAGCAACCTAGACACGCCCACAACCACAAAGGTCCTCTTACCATTTATTTCAATTAAACATTCCAAACGGTAAGCACGGATGCTTTTTTCCCCCAGCAAGATCACCCTTTAAATTGAAAAAGTCAAGTGGCGATCATTATCCTCATAAGTCTAACCACAAAACTTACACAAGTCATGTAGGCTATAAGTAGAGTTTCGAATTTCGGGCGGGTTTAATCGCAGTTAAATCCAAATTAATTAATAACGAATTTATTATTGTTGAAATTCCAAATGAAATTTCTTTTGAGAAACCTGTAATAATAATTATCACAGGAATGTTTTCTATAACAACTTAACAAGTTAAACAAATTAAACATGGCCTTGCCAGACGACAAGGTTTTTATATATTGTTCTTGCTGAGAAATCGTACAGTTCCTAAAAATACAATATGACACAACTGTATAATAAAAAGAGAACCAGATGTCTTTTTATCATTATGGTTTTATTGTTTCTGAATAAATTGTACGCAGTCTCATTGTAAGCGAAATAATTATTTCGCTTAGTAGACACAAAAGACACGACAAGCACATGACGCTGTAGGTAACGAGTCCCCAGACGTTTATTTTTATTTCCAAACACAACATGATGGCCCATATCTATGGGTTGGATTAAGTACACCGCATGCACCGTATCATTACACGCATTGGTGTACCCTTGAGGTGGGCGAGTTCACTAGTACTATAGGAAGGTAAACTTTTGTCGGTTAATCTTGACAGTAACTTATATCAATTAATTATTTTAAGCCGTCAGTATCAGTCAATGAACAGTCAGTATCCATTCATAAAGAAAAAAGTGTCATAACAGTTCAACGAACTGGGTATCCAGCCCTTAGGAACTCGAAGTGGAGTGTGTTTTCCTGAACAGTAGACTTACATATCGATTGCGTGCGTATTAAGATAAACCTTATGACCTAAAAAAAGAAATGGAGCAATCCCGACGCGACGGACATGTATAGTTTGTTTGGGTTCGGTGTGTTTGCGTATCATGTTTCTCTAAGGGTAACTTATCTTTGTTGAAGTAAAGACTTGCAAACAAGTCGACATCAAACTTTCGCCGTGATGTCATAATTCAAGTATTGTGCAAAGCTAAACATGTTCGAAGGCCTATGTGCCTCTTACTAGTAGTACATGTATAGGTACTTTCCTCCATGATTCCACCAAGACCACGTCGTGATACTGATCTATTTATTGATTTTTGTTCAACAAAAGCGGCGCTTGTGTCGTCGATTGCGCCCCTACTGAAGGCTGCAAAGTAAATGGCGCGAAAGTATCGCCAATGCTGTGTTGCACAAAACGTATTTCAGCTCTTCACGTAAATATTTCAACTTACAACATGGATGAAATAAAAATCAAGAAACCTTTCAAGGATCCCTCTTTATTTCGGATATGTAAAGAACGGTGACGAAAAACAAATGTTGCCGTGTGCTTCATGAGGAGATGTAGTCCACGTCGCGACAAAGTGGCATTTGCCCAACACTCAACAGATAACAACATTTCAATTCAACAGAGTTTGATATCCAAGATTGCACAAATAAAACAAAAAACAATTAACATTTTGGTTTTAAATCCGTTAACCCGATTATTTATTTTGCTTCTCTGGTGCAAATCATTCAAGTAAATGACAACTCAAACTGCTATGAGTATTTATATTTTGCAAAATTTATAATGATAAACATGCTTCCTTTCTTTAAGTCTTACAAGTAACAAGCCACAGCACTGCGGCTATTTCACCACAATGTCAATTATGCATGGAATGCGCTTCGCTGGTATACCATTAAACCATAGAGCACGGTCCTTCCTATGTGCTGGTATTCAGAGCTTCAACTTCCATACATCACAATTGAAGTTGTAAATAAAATGTTTTCATGTGAATTTTACAGCGAACTATATGGACAACATTATACAAACGTCGTCAAATGAAGTTAGGCAAGCACATCATGTACATATACACTCATGTCTTATTAATACATTCCACGTCCAACCCCTTTGCTAAGGCATGTAAGGCCCCGATTTTTCTGCGTGATCACATACCTAACCTAAAGTCAACGGGGTGTGTCTGAAATTTCCCCGGTGTAATGTGGCGCAACATTGTTCACAGAGCGTTGATATTTACAATATATATTTTTAGAGTGCCCATTTCAAAAACATAAAACATTTCCGACAGATCTTTACAATACCATAATTGGTAACGTGTTTTCTATTCAAACTGTGTAGTTTTAATATGTACACTTTAGTTTATAAAGTAAATGAACATTTCGAATAAACTCACCCGGTTTCCCTTTGCCTGATGCCTTCAGTTTGGCAGCAGCCCGAGCCGCTGCCCCTTGCTCGTCTGAAACATCCCCTTCCATTTCGATTCTCTCCTCGCCCTTGCCTTTGACCGCTTTTCTTCGTCCACTCCGGCGAATCCTGAACGACCGGCGGAATGATCCATTCCGGAGCGACTTGAAACTCAGACGCCTTTTTTTCGGGGATGGCGGACCGTTGCCTTTGCCCTCCGCGGTTGCCCCAGCGTCGACGGCCCCCGATGCTGACACCGAACCTTCAACGTGAATACCGGCAGAAGCACTCTCTTGGTTGCCCATCTTTCCCACCTTTTTTGTCGGTTTAGATTTGCTCCGATTTATGGTTCTCCAAGAATAGTCAGAACGGGGAAAAAGTTTAAGCGTGCCAATGAAGTTGCAGCGCTCACGACAAAGTTACATATCAAGGACCAGTTCAACGACGACTATTACCCTGACAGGGCTAGAGCTGTGAAGCTGTCTCACACATTGAGTATGCAGCCCACAAAATATTCATGGTACATGTAGGTAAATGCACGTAGGCGGAGGAGTGGCTTCGCAGCTTCCACAACCCAACGAGCCCGTGCATTGCACACAATGCATGTACTGTAGATGTACAATGTACATGTACATGTACAATGTACATGTAGACGTAGGTTTACAACGCACACACCCGGCCCAGGGACCAGGTACAAAAGGTTTGTTCACACACAAAGCGTATTCAAATTGAAGTGAAAGCACCCAATGGACCAAAACGCTTCGTCCTTGCTGGTGCTGTTCCAATAGTTCTAGTGAACCCACCATTCAAATACCAGTGCAATTTCGTCATTTTTTTGGGACTAAAGTTTAGCCATGTATATAATACAGTGGCATTCAAATTTGTTTGATGTCGAATTTACTTGTTGATCACTGTACACACGGGGCTCCACAATGTCTGTTTCAGTCTCATGATTTTTATGTATCACACATGATACCATGGATGAATAAAAATACAGGTCAACAGACCGTGGAGAACAGAATTTACCGGGTAACAGCATTCAATATATACCCATCCATCAGGCTCTCTTTTCAAGAGCATGTAAAATAGATTGGCACGAACATCCTGCACTTTTAAATTTTCTTATCTCGTTCAGAGACCAATTTTATTGAAATTCAACTGTACTTGAATCCTAGCCCCGTGCTTAATCCTGACTGGTGTGCATACAGAAACCGGCAACAACTTGCTTGCAAACGAATTTTGACCAAAATGAAAGTGTTTTATGGTTTGATGTATCAGGCCGCATGAGGGTCACATCATTTAAATGGTACAATTTAGTTGGTCGATGAGTACACCTTGTTTTGTGACATGATATTCAATAAAACATAGTGGCGTGTAAGGTTTAATAAAAGAATGTTGGAAAATGATACATTGAAAAATCTGATTCTAAAATACTGCAAAACGGTATCCATACAGTATATTTCAAGAAGTAGTGCATGACAAACTGTTTGATGTAATGTATGCTTACTTAAGTTACTTAAAAAAAGTGAACACCTATATTTAGGTATACCATGAAGTGACCAGTTCATTTCTTTAATTTGTGTGTTGTCACAAAATTTCCCTCAAACATGCGAATATTTTGCTTCGTTGATCATCCCGCCTTCATCGAGTCGTTAACTCGTTGTTTCTATACGGTCACAGTGAAAGGACACATCCACGCACAGGGGTGAACTGGAATTCGCTCGTACCCGTACCCCCGCCCCTGCATCTAGAAGTAGAACTGGAATGGTTTGTCATCTTGACGGGAGACTGTGCTGTCTCCTGCAGCCAGCAGGGTCATTCTTTGGACCTCAATTCAACGGTAATAGGACACGATGCCCTAAAGTACGTAGTGCTGTGTCTGGCCGTCTGACAGAAAATGATGACCAGTAATATGTTTCATTTCTCCATGGTATAACGAACACATTGTAGGCCCTATACTTGCATCATTTTATTGTCACTTGTTATTTGGCGAGAAAGCTCTGATTCTAAATCTTCTACATGTATATCGTTTTAACATTAAAGAGTACAATCTATATAGGGCCTATAATAATAATAATTATTTAAACAAAACACATATATAGATTGGAAAGTTGTTTTGAGTTTGTTAAAAAAAACACAATTGCAATAACCACTATGGCGACACAATTTGTGAATGTAGGTCCCGAATGCCGTTTGAAAAGAGGCTTTTGTAAATGTGAAGCTATTGTAATTTTGTATGAAACCCAATATTTTAACATACTTTATGATTAGTACATTTGTATTTTCTGCTCATCTGCCGGGCATGCTGGGAAAAAAAAACCCCACGTGCCTACGGTAAACAGTCATACGGGCTGTCGTGGTTAACCCATGGAGCTTAATCCAACCACATTGAGCAATGTGCCCAAAAAATCAAGCTCAGAAAAAAGTGCCTGAAGTCTGTTAGTCATGGGCGGCGATCTGGGGGGGGGGGGGGGGCATGTCCCCCGATCATTTTTGGGCAGGGGACGCCAATGGTGATGTCCCCCAATCATTTATCCCAGTGCTTTTAGATTGTAACCCAACATACCAACATCTTCACATTATTTTTCCCCAAATAATTTTATAGCTGTGAGATGTTGCTTGTTCACCGCGCCATTTAAACGAGACACTTCATCCGCGTTTTACCTGATTAAGTTTCTGTCTGCACTAAAAGCGTCTGTATTTTTGGGTTGGTTTTCTTGGGGGGGGGGGGCCTTTAAAATATTGAGTCCGGTTGCAAAGTTTGTTGACCGTCGCAGTCGGTGAAAAGTACGCTTTCAATAGGCAACACAATAGATTTACTAAAAAAACCCCTGTGCACTGTAATGGTATGGGCCTATGGTAAATTAGTTGAATCACAACCGCCGAGGAAGAGACAATTTATGTCGGCCAAAGTTACCGAAGAATAATTGCCAGCGAAAACATTAACGTTTCACTTAAAGGCACATTACAGCCTGAAATCCCCGAAAATGTTATGTTTTGCATTGTTTTCTTATCCTATTTCAAAGGTCTGGTTGAAAGGAAACTAACCCAATGTCGCACTGTTCCTGAGAAAAGACGAAAAATCACGGTTGTTTACTTTTCTTCAGACGCGGCAGACATTTTGTGGCATATAGGCTACGCATACGTATTTCCAGCGTGTCCACTCAATGTACGGTACGTGTTGTGTGACACAAAACTCTTGATTCTCGCATATCCGTAGAATGCGATGCATGTGGTGTAACCATGGAGGATGTTCTTATTCCTCCATGGTGTAACATGTGCGGCAGGAATCACGACTAGCACCCATCAACAGCTCGATTTTTGAGAGCCAAAATGTTGACTTTTTAAACTCGTTCTCACAAGAATAACACAAAACGCCCAGTTTTTAAAGGATGGTTGTGTGGACGTTTATATCCTACTTTTAAGTGCTCTTTCCATTTAACATCATTTCGTTTAAACGTGTTTTTTTTAATACCAATTGGGCGCATTCCACAATGTAATGTTCCTAAAATTCTTCCATTTAGGCTACTTGATATGTCATGATAAAGGTCTATCAAGTGTGGCTCGGATATTACTGTGCCTTTAGATAAAGTCACAACTTATACACCGGTGTATACGCTTATGCTATGCACAGAGTTATCGCTAAATCAAAATCAAGAAGAAAATATTGCTGGTTCTCTATAGTGTCGTACTCTATGAAACTAAATATGAAGGTTAACATTCTTGAGTTGGTGCGTAGGTCTGCTTTGCTTGTCCCAGCTGTCGGTCATATTACATCATGATCAGATGTGATTTCGTTTATATGAAGCTGTTTCGTGCACATTGACCTCCTGCGAGTGTATGTGACCCTGATCATGATGCCCTCGTTATGCAACTTCACTTTTTGGCTGGGGACCTTTTTCTTCCGTTGCTAAACCTTTTGAATCTGGCCAAATTAGTTTGATTCTGCCAACCGTCATATCAAGTGCCAAAAAAGAGTCGTCCAGGTTTGGGCTATTTTCATGTGAAATTCTGAGTAATCAAAGACAGCAACCGATAGCCCTTGTATGTTGCGGTGTCTCAGAGGATATTCTTTGTTATTTTATTAACAATGAATTCACGAAAGGTATACTCGTGTCTATCCTTCTCCGAAAGTCAAGAAATAGCTATTGCTATAAAGTATCAACAATGATAACAGCAAGCTCATGGCGTGCAAAGTTCCATACGACAGCCCATCAAAAGCAGAAATACTATCAATCAACTTCCAGATAATTTATAAACAAATCAACGAGGAAAACAAAATTAACTATTCAAATATCAAAACAGCTGTATATGTAGGCCTAGGCCTATACTGAAATATCGAATAATTGAAATAGTATCGTACACTGAAGCATAATACCCTCTTACACGCTCTTCAGTAAATGAAATCAACCATACCAAGGCTCGTCAGTGACAAACAAGAAGTTTCTGTGTCAAGTGTGGCCACACGACAAACAAATACTGCCGATTCTGTGGAAATGAACTGTGGTTTTAAATCTATCCGTTACCTTCAAATACATGTATATAAAGAACATTTTGAATTTCGGCAAACTTTTTGAGACTGAAGTGGTTCGAATTTTTCGATTAGCGAACGTATATAACTTCTGCATTTAATGTTATATCCCCAGACTAACTTTATAATTACGTCCGCAAAGGAGGTTATGTTTTCATCAGATTTTGTTGGTTGGTTAGTTGTTTGGTTTGTCTCTTAAAAAGAGAACTCAAAAAGGTATGGACGGATTTGCATGAAATTGTTCTAGGGGGCTTGGGTGGTCCTTGGTACAAGTACAAATCGATTAGATTTTGGAAGTGATCCGGATCTGGGTCTGGATCCAGTATTCTTTTAAAGGATTCTTCACCATTTATGTGAGTATTACTTTGGGGTGACTGACAATATAGCGGGGAGTTGTTTAGCCTTGACGGAGGTTTGCGCTCTCTGAGTGCTTTCTAGTTTGAGCTGTTTTTATGAGAGTAATACGATTAGTTTACACTGGACATCATTATATGAGATAATGATCGAATCTCGTCGACGAAATTAAATTCATACTACTAGAGGTTTATACACCACTCTGTATCACTTTGTATGCAATTGCAACTTTAATGATAACACCGCTTCGAGCGTTTTAACTTCTACAATTGCATGCCATTCTTTCCACCCACCCCGATAACAATTAATAAAAACGAAACAAAACAAACAAAAACAACTGCAGCATGTATGGAACAGCACGCCAACTAAGCATTCGGGGGGGGGGGGGGTCCCCCGAAACTGTTCATAATAACTTCGAAACCGCCGATCGGTATAAAATTGGTTGGCTTTCCCCAACTTTTATCATGGATCAATATTGTTGCAATGGCAACTGAATTAAAACATTGACAATCATGATTTTTATGGATCAAAAGCATTTTTCCACAGCCCAAACCTATTATGATGATAACACCGCTTTATATTAACATATCAAACCATTTCTATAAAGTAACATTATTTTTAAAAGTGTGGATTCTTATCTACGAATCTTTTGTATTGGACACAAATTGTGGATTCGTAGATACGAATCTCTAGCAATGCTCGGATTCGGAATGTTTTGCAC